GCTGTGGAGGGCAGTGTCACTGGCCCTCATATGTGGGATCTGAACCGGGGCTCTCTGGTGTCCCAAGCCAGTTCTTAACCATCGCGCCACTCGGCCGGCCCCCTTTTCCTCTTTTTTTATGTTATGTGTCTCAGTTCTGGATTTTTGTGTGTGTGTGGTTACCATTAAGTTTATGCAAAAGAAGGTTTCATACATACAGTAGTCCTTTTTCTTCAGCATGAATATTGTCTCCATTCCCCTTTGCAAATGCAGACCTTTAACCACCCTTATGTTTTTGTTGTCACAAATTATCCCTATTTATGCTGTCAGTTCATTTTCGAGTTGCAGTAGCTATTGCCTTCTTTTCTTTTATGTTTTTACCTCCTTTAACCTTTATGTTATATTTAACTGTATAGTAGCCTATTCTGAATAAGGGTTGCAATTTCCTGCATCTGGCTGTCTGTTAGTTATCTTACTCATAGTTCTGTATCTTTTTGCCTTTTTTTGTTTCGGGTAGAATAACCCCCTTCAGTATTTCCTGCAATGCAGGCCTTGTGGTGAAAAATTCCGTCAGCTTATGTATGTCTGGAAAGGTCTTTATTTCTCCTTTATATCTAAAGAATAACTTTGCTGGAAATATGAGGTGTGACCAAACAATAAGGCGAATGTTTAAATAAAAAAGAATTATTATACTAAAAGACACATTGCCATTAATCCCCCTCAAAATACTCCCCCTTGCTTCAAACACACTTATCCCATCATTCTTGCCACTTTCGGAAGCAGTTCTGGAAGTCCTCTTTCATGAGTGTCTTTAGTTGTGTTCTCGTGGCTGCCTCAATGTCCTGAATCATTTTGACTTTGGGGAAGAGCCAGAAGTTGCATGGCTCTCCAGATCCAGTGAAGAAGGTGGATGAGGACACACCATAATGTTTTTATTTGACAGAAATTGCCATATACCAGAAGTGATGTGTGACACAGAGTGTTGTCATGATGGAAGATGATTTATGGCACTTTAAAACACACCTTCTCTCAACCATAGTTCACACCTGACTGACGCACTGAACAAGTTGAAACTTGTCACACACTGTTACTAAGGTTAGACATGTCACTTCCTGTATTGAGGATCCTTGCCTTTCTGTTGGATGGCACTCAGCAGCAGCATTCACTGTATTTTGTGATCACAACAGAAAGGCTCCGTGTCACATATCACTCCGGGTTCAGCAGTTTCTGTCATATAAAAAAACATTATGGTGTGTCCACATCCACCTTATTCACCAGATCTGGCACCGTGTAACTTCTGGCTCTTCCCCAAAGTCAAAATGACCATGAAAGATAAACATTTTGAACCGATTCAGGACATTGAGGCAGCCACAATAGTGCAACTAAAGACATTCATGATAGAGGACTTCCAGAACTGCTTCAGAAAATGGCAAGAACGATGGGATAAGTGTGTTTGAAGTGAGGGGGAATGTTTTGAGGGGGATTAATGGCAATGTGTCTTTTACTGTAATAATTTTTTAAACATTCACCATATTTTGAAATCATACCTCATATTTTTATTGGCTGGTGATTTCTCTTTTTCAATAGTTTTAATATGTGATTCCACCCACTCCTAGCTTGTAGAGTTTCTGCTGAAAAATCCGATGATAATCTAATGGGATTTCCATTATAGGTTACCATCTTCTTTTCCCTGGCTGCCTTGAGAATTCTGTCATTAATTTTTGACAGTTTTAATATAATGTGCCTTGGAAAAGGCCTTTTAGCATTGAAATAATCAGGTGTTCTGTTTGCTTCTTGGATAGAGGATTCAGTTATTTCCAAAGGTTTAGGGAATTCTCATTGAGTATTTGAATAGGCTCTCTGTTCCCTTCTCTCTCTCTCTCTCTCTTCTACTTCTGGTATACTCATTATTCTTATTCTTATACTGCTCTTTCTGATGGGAGTCAGATAGTTTTTGTACAGTTCTTTCATTTTTGTTTTCACTCTCAAGTCTCTCTCTTCTGCTGTCTGTGTCATTTCCAGGTTTCTATCTTTGATATTATTAATTCTTTCCTCCATCTGGTCAGCTTTAGTTCCTAAGCTGGATATTTCATCTTCATCTCTTTTATTGAGTTCTTCAGTTCCAGAATTTC